TTTATTTCCCTGTCACTTAATAAAAATGAACAATTCTTTATCCACCTCTTACAAAATAATTTTGTCATACTAATAAACTTAATTCATTACCTTTTACTAGTAATAAATTTAATTCTTTATATTCTTTATTATTATTTAATAAGTATAAAATTTAATTCTTTATCATCTCTTACAAAAAAACAATTCTTTAAAGAAAAAGTATTTTAATTTAATAACGTCGCACAATTTTTATTGGACAACGAGCACGTGAAGGTCACGGGAGTGCACTTAGAGAGGGAGTTTTATATAGATGGGAATGAAGAAAGACCGTGCAGTGCAGGGGGAAGGGGGTGTGCACTTATCTCTAATTCCCGAGCTTGGGAATGAATGAAAGCATGCACTTAGAGGGGGTTGACTGTATTTGCTTAATAAAAAAACGGGGAATTTGCAACAGATACCTTCTTTAAAGTAATTTGCACAAAATAATAAATTGATCTGCACACCCCATTTTATTGTTACATGCAATAATTTAAGATTTTAAAAATAAAATTTTTTTTTAAAAATACATACATATTTACATATTAATATTAATATACACTAAAATAAAATCAATAAATATTAGGTTCTGGACAAAGAATATCTTTAAATGGGTCTTCTACATGTTGGTGAATTTTTGTAAACAAATATTTTTTTCTATCATCTGTTAATGGAGCAACCTCAATAATATTTAATTGATCCTTATCAAAATTATCATTCTTTAGAAGTTTAAAAGAAATTTCTGAATCACCAGATTTTCAGAAACATAAACTTTTCCAATATCCTTACTATTAAAGCAAAAAAGATGGTATATAAAAATCCTGATGCAGTTGATTAATTAGTACATTCATTCAATTAAAATGTTAACATTGTCATTACAATAACCTTCTATTCTTGTTTGTATTTGTTGAGAATTTTTATAAGAAATTTCACTTTTGACATGACCCACATTGAAAATATTAATAAAAAAAAAAATATGAAAACATAATATCAATTTAAAATTATAATGTTATATACTAGAATCATAGTGGCATCACCATGAACATTTAATTTTTTTAATCTGCATACAATCTCACACAATATTATATAACTGTTCATTTACACATCTCTTTCTTACACTTATTATCATCATGTGTTATTAAAAATTATAATAGCAAGGGTCATCATTATCATTATATCAAGATAAATTTATTTTATAAGAGAATTTGGTCCCAAAATTTATCTGTTAAACCCCTAAATCTGCTAAATTGAGACTCGCTGTGCAATTTTAATTGATAATAAGAATGTTTCAAACCCACTTTCATGTAATAGTAATAATATTTTTAGAACAGTAGCACAGTTGGCATTTTGTTATGTGCTTGCAAATAGAGTTGAAGAAAAACCCATGGTTGATTGGATACCATGATTTATATATCAGCATCTGGATTGTTAATTGATGAGATAATAAAGAGTTATTCAAAATGGCCAACTTCAGAAGTATATATTGAAGGTTTCTATTCAAAATTTTTTTTTATTTAATTACAAAATGACTTTTTTCTTTTTCAGATAATCATTGATTTTATTCAAATTATTTGTTTTATTTGTTTTATTCAATTTATTTGAATCACCATTTTATTTGTAATATGGCACATGCTGTAGCAAAGTGATAAAAATAAGTTTTGTGGTGGTGAAATGTACAGTACAGTATATACTTATTATTCAAGTGATCTACATATAAGGTAATTATGGCAACCAAGCCAAAAGCATAGATTAGATAGTCACTGAATTGTTTTTTAGGAACTTTTATATCTTTATTTTGATTCTTTCCACCATTCTTTGATCTAGTTATTCTTGATATAAAAAGTTAACCTTTCTCATTTAACTTATATTACTAGGAATACAATAAATATTTTCTGTTGCAATATTTATTGAGCTTATAATCTGGCATTAGATTGGTTTTATCAGGAGGGAGAAGAATTTTAATTAATTATTGTCTCGTTATTCCAATCCTTTCTTTGACTCTTGAAAGTTATTTCAAATATATATTAACTCAAAACTTAGTTCAGTTGCTCAAATTTAGATTGAATAGTATGGTGAAAGGGACAATATCACAGCAGAAAATATAGTTTGTGATATTTGCTACAAGAGGGATTGAAGCTAGTGTGAAGACTATCAAATTGCAATCTAGTACAACAGGAACAATTAACGTAACAGATGTGCAAACTATTCAGCACAACGTTATGTTGAAAAGGTCTTAATATTACTGACATGGACACTTGGTAGAGCGGAGTTGAATTCAGAGAAACTTCCTAACAATGGTTTATTAGTAGGCGAAAGCACTTTTTGTTACCAGCAGAGCTTCCAACTTATTTGGATCTAATTCTGACGCGAAAGCTGCTCCCGATGTTGCAGTATACATTATGTTTAACTTTGTGGATAGTTTTAGCGGTTATCGGACAGATGGTATTGGAAATTTGGCTTTATAACAACAATGGAATTGTTGAAAAAGGCATATATATCCCTATTATTATAAAAATTTTTACGGAAAATGTACGGAATCTCACAAAGTCTTCTTGTAATATGTAAATAAATATAAAAGACAGTGTTTTCATTTTTTGTGTTTAGTATTCCGTTGGATTCTTTCTGTAGAGTACCTAATAAATATTTTGATAGATGCTAAATTTGGTTGTGATACACTAATAATAAGAAGAAGAACTGGTAACATATCATTCTACTCTTGAGAGTCACTTCATGTACATCTTTAATATGATGTTTGGTAATTAAAATGTAATGACTTTTTGAATTGGGAGAATTCAGAGAAACAAAAATTTTTACCCTTTGAGTATTATGTCAGGTTCAAGGGCAGGAAAGGGATTTCTTTAATTTTTAAACTTAAGCATTTTAATTTCAAAGACTTGGATAAATGCAAAAAATTCAACAAAATTAAAACAAGATAGAAGGAAAAACCTTGAATTTATTACACTTTTGGATTTGGAACGATGAAAATAATAATACAAATATTTTCCTTTTTCTTTTTAGTGTATTTATTTATCTAATGGTTTATTATTAAAAGATTAGTCGACGTTGAAGATAATAAAAATAGATGTATAAAGAATTAAGGCGTGTGTGGGCAAAAAGATATTGGATTCGTTAAACAAGGCTTTTCCTATAATTCTTTTTTGTTTTTTTGTTGTTGTTAGAGATTATGTATAAGTTTAGTTGGTATTTTTAGTAAAGTTAATTCAATTGGTTTGGTGGAAGTGTGTGTTTCAGTGGAAGGTTTGTGTCGCATATCTTCTTCTGAATAAGATATAGGTACTGCCATTGGTATATTCAAGCAATGTTGTCAATTACGTGGTCATTTGCCAACACTGTATTATTTTCAGCAAACTATTAAAAATAAAGACCAAGAATTTGCACATTATTTTTTCGAAGAATGGATGCGTCGTGGTAATTCAATCTTTTTGTAAAATATTTTAATGTGTGATAAGTCTATATATTAATATGAACGAACCGTTTTAAAAGTTTTATAATACTAATTATATATTTAAATTTATTTTTAAATTAATATAAAAAAAAAATAAAGAAAAATTTAAAAAAAAATCATAAATATTATCATAAATTAAATATAATATAATTACTACGATTAAAAAAATTTGTTTGTCAAAAAATTAATTGATTTCCAACTTCGAAATGGATGTTTAATCGAGTTCAAGTTTGTCTGCCAAAATAATAAATTTGTCTGTGAATTCAATGCTGGAATTTCTCCATGAATTAGTAAAAACTTTTGTCAACTCCGCATTACTAATGTTAAAATTAGGAATTTGTCGTAGTTCTTCTAACAACGCAAGATAGAAAAGTGATTGCGGAGCTGATAAATTTGAACTGGTGTTGTTTCCAAGAAGTATTTGTGCTTTTTCAAGATCAGGTACGTAAATTGTAATGATCTGGCCATTAGATAAATTGGCAGTGGTGGAAATGTTATCACAGTCTTTACCATTATCAGGAGTAATTTGAATTTCAGAGGCAGTCATAGAAGTACTGGTTAATTCTATAAAATAAAAATATTATTTATTAGAAATGGAATTATAAATAGGCTTATATATATAAAAGTTAACCGTAAACAGTTCAAATTTTACAATTTTACATTGAACCATGTGTGTAACTTTCTTTTTATATTGAGATCTCGGAATCAAAACCAGTTTTAAAAAACTCAAATGAATATGCAGTATTTATATTATTGTTGTATAATTACAATAATAAATAAAAATAAACCAATTGCCGATCATTCCATATATGCTTTTTATAATTGTTTTTGAAGGAACCACCGATAGTAATGATTAGATTATTACCAAACAAGCAAGAGGAATTTTTTATTTGTTATTTATTATTTGTTATTATTTATTATTTATTATTTATTTATGTCATTATATCATTTATTATTGTGAAAACGCAACGATGGCGACGACGGCGACGACGATTATGGTAGTGTTGTTTTAATAGAGATGACACATAAAATAAATATCTCACGTTTTTTTTGTAACTAAAATGCATATGAATACGAGTGAGTATACATATATATGTATTTTTATCTATTTATTAATATAAGCATATCGTCATCTTTATATTTACCGATGCCATTTTCTCCAAAATAAGATTTAATTAAAACAAAATGAATTAGAATGAACGCCGTATCAATAGTCACGGTGGCTATACATAATGGTGTCTGTGATGGACTTATTTATTTATACATAGATAGATTTATATATAGATTTATTATTATTTATCTTTAATTACTGCTTGATCAACAAAAGCTGTTTCTTGTGCCAAAAGACAACCAGAAAGAATATCGGAGGTTCATGTGATGGACATAATGTTTCAATAACTCTATGAAAAAAGGATTCTCTACAACGCAAAAGGGAATTCTACAAACAACAAATGATTTTACCAATGCCCGATTTATATCATTAATATATTGAGGTCTTAGTTTAGTACTTTTAATATAATCAGGAAGTATTGATTGATTAATCGATGAGTTTTCTAATCAAGTTTAGGAACAGGTCCATGATTTCTTACATAATGTAGATCATTGGGGGGTGATGAAACCTTGTTCCAATAGTAAAGGAACAGGTGGTTCACAGTTAAAAGGATCTTTTCCTGAGTTAATTGATTGATGGATTTTCGTTTTCTTGTTGTTGTTTCACTAGTCTTTGTAACTAACTTTTCCGAAAAAAAAAATCACGAACTTCTACACAGGTACTTCTACACATAAATTACCAAAGTGATTTTCAAGAGTAGCAGGCGAACCTTTATACCAAAACTCCACGCACAAAAATTACATGTAGTATTCCAATGTCCCTTTGAAATTTCTCTCCATGTATCTGCTCCATATAGTTGACTTTGGTTTTCCACTAATTTTTTGGGGAAGACACAGTCAATGTATCATCATTTGAAACAACCATAGGAGGCACATTACCAATGAAAGAAATATTTTCTTCTGTAACTAAAGATGAATGGTAATTTATTACTTATTTACAATTAAAATATTAGGTTATTTATATATTAGATTATTTTATTTATTTACAATTAAAAATTCAAACTGTAACTTTATAAGCAAGTGATTGATGGTGTGTAATCCTTCTAATGAATCAATTTGGAATTTTGTTGTACATACTCCTGATCATAGTCAGTATTTTATGGAGCCTTCGAAACTTATCAAAAACTTGAATTTAAATTTTTTAAAATCATTCCATATTTGGTTTCAGGATTCGGATTAGTTTCAGATTTCGGATTAGTTTCGGGAATTTTGAATTAGTTTCGGAAAAATACAAAAAATCCGATACATGTGATTAAGTTTCGCTGAAACATTACTCAAGATCATTGATTTTATTATAATAAATCACATGATATAATTTCGTAACTGAATTTAAATATCCAGTAAATATATATGTGCACAAAAATCAAAACTCGTATTATTTATCAAGAGAATATGTTGTTACAAATGATTATAACCAATATGACACGACCAGTATTAGTATATACTGTAAACATTAATAATGATTCTGATAAAATCAGATTTTTAAATGAGTGTGTGGCGCAACATTCTATTTTATGTCACTTTTCTGCAGCCAATCATTTCACCACCACAAATCGGTTTCTGAGCCATATATAGAACCAAATTTTTATCCTGAGTCCGGACTTTTTAGATATTTTGATAAACAAATATAGATACACATACACACGTACATACAATAAATAATGTGAATTAATGAAGGTGAAAATGGAAACTGTATCTTCGGAACAATAGTGATATACTTACATAGAAATATACTTATATAGTTATTTTTATTATTATTATTATTATGCATACATGCGATTATTCGTTGTTTGTGTAACAAACAAAATATAATCTGATTATTTAAAATTATTTACAACTATATACGATTTCATGAAAAGCCCCTATCCAACGAAAATGTATAAAAATGAGTAAAAAATACTCTAACTGATTATCCTTTCTTTATGGAAGAAATAAATCCTTTAACACTTTCAAAACCCTTTTAACTCTATATTTTAAAATAATTGTAAACTATTTAAAATTATAAGGTCGCAATAAATGGTCAAAATTGTGTGATCAAGCTCAAACAATAAATTATTAATTGAAAACTTATATTTAAAACATAAACAATTTTGAAAACTACCCGTAAGAATTTAAAAGGATTAATATTAATAAGTTAGCTGTGTTTAATAATTATTTAATAAACAATATTATTAAGAGCATTAATAATATAATAATCTCGAAGACGGACAAATAACTAGTAACGACATATCAAAATGTCTCAACAACAACAAATTCTTGAACAGCAACAAAATTATTATTATGATGGACATTCCGTTCAGCAACTTCAGCAGCAACCTCAACAACAAAATTATGACCGACAACTTCAAAATCACGTACAACAACAGCAACAGGTTCAAAATTTCGAAAATCAAATTTATGCGCGACAACTTCAACAAATTAATAATCCAACCCAGCAAATTCTTCAACAACAAACTCAACCAACTCAAAATCTTGGACAAGAAATTATTACATTCGATAATTCATTATCAAGTATTGCAACAAGTTCACCATTTCAAAAAGTGACTAATGTCAACAACAATAACGGCATGCCGGCAGCGCAATCTTTACCACCACCAGCACCACAGCAGCAGCAACAACCCCACCAATTAGTTTATGTTAAAAGCAGCTCACATACATCATCTTCACCTTCAACTAATAACGATATTAATAATAATCGTCATCAATATAGTTTAAATAATCGCGATTTAAATTTAAATGTTTCTTCATTCAATTCTAGAAACCACAATGAAGACCCTTTAATTGCAGCCATTTTTCATCATATGTCAATGATTAAAGACTATAGGGTGAAGATTAGTCAGCATCATTTTGAATTGGAACAAATTATCAATATGTTAAGACATAGAGATAATCAAGATAGAAAATAATTTATTGCTAACCTCATTTTATTTTTTATTTTTTTTATTTTTTATTAAGCAATACAAAGAAGAAATGAATTTATCATTCTATTTGTAATTTATTAAATGAACGTATGCACTTATATCTTATTATTAAAGCTTTTTTTTTTTGGTAATTCATCATGGTAGGACGCATTCATTTGAATATATATTCTTTACCTTGTATATGAAATCTTAAAGCTAAATGTCTTTAAGTAAATTTTTCGAAAGTTTATACACTTGGTTGTCACATATACTTAATTGCATTCAAAATTCAAACCCACAATTTACTTTGCTATATGTAGATTTAAAGTTATTTTATTGGCCTTGGTTAGAAGATGTGCCACGCACAGTGCGCGAATAGTTCTCATATTGTACTACATAGCATGCATGTACAAGTTTTTCCGTATTGATACATTTGCAAAAGGTTTACAATAATTGCTAATTCAGACAAATTGTTAGGATGAAGTATTTTTAGTTAAGTTTTTGTAGGCATTAATTAATAAATATTGCTAGTTAAAGAATACATATAAATATGCTATTTGATTTTTTTAAAGACCAACATTATTGCGCATTCATGACAATTCTCTGTGTGCTATTACTATTACTATCTCTTAAACGGTCAAAGTATTCTTTAATGGTAACGCGAAATGATTTTTTGATCACGATCTTGCATTCTTATTGGCCAATTTAACGATCTGCAAAGTAAAAATAGTCAATCGACCAACTTTTAAGGATGATTTTACGAAAACCACAAGGACAACAACCGAATTTTTATTCACATATCAAACAGCTGAATCCCAAAGATCATTTTCGCATTAGGAAGTAATACCTTCAAAAAAAGTTTTTTATAACAGAAAAAAAATTTCGGCTATCAATAGCCGAAAAACCGTTCAAGGGATAATACTAATACATTATGCATTATGCGCACAGTGCGCGAAAAAAAATCAGGGCCACTATGAATGGCACATCTCTAGCCTTGGTATCTTTGGCATATTTATTTATTTACTTGATATATGATTAATGAAATGATTAGTATTATTAAAATAGAAAGGTCACTACAGTATCAATAAAAATACACTAATTTATACATTGAAGTATAAGAGGCATTTACAAGCTTAGTATTAGTAGATGTTAATTTATTGAAAATATATATTAATATTTAATTCGTGATAGTAGATGGTCGGCACATAAAAAACGGGTTTAATATCTATTTAATAAAAAGTCACATTTTCTGAATCCAGACACGTCCATATAAATCTTTATTATTCTTTCACATCTCAAATTTTATTTTTTATATCAAATCAAATTTATAGCTAACTGCATTCATATATTAAAAAAATTTTTTTGTACATATTGTATAAATATAAAATTTCTATTTAAATGTCTAAATGTAAAGAAGTTTCACCAACACTTGCATCTTGAGGAATAATTTACACTGTGGACCTTTTGCTTGTCACTGGTGGCATGAAATTTCTACTGAAAATGGCACAGAATTTTATCCTATTCGTTTAGGATGACAATTTTAACTGAACTAAATAGTAGAAAATTTTTGCTTCGTATTATTATGATAAGATCCAAAGGTTTACACCAGAGGATATGCATAAAGAACTTATTGAAGAATCTGTTCATAATGCCCAATTTTCTCATGATGAAATTCCTAAGGTAGAAACTATACGTAATTGGGTTTCTAGATATTCAGCAGAAATGAAAAAAGATGTAGCTGATAAAATGTTAACAAATTACAATAAATAAATTTTCAAGTAATTTATCATATAATTATTTTAATATTAACAACTTGCTTTTGGTGTGATCTAATTTCCTGCCCACTACAAGAAAACAATTATATTATTATTGATACAATCTTTAATAAAATTATAAATAAAGAAAATTATTTTAACTCTCCTGTAAATTATTCCCCAAGACTTAATGATGACAGAAGAAATTACATGGCCAAGTTTAATATTAACAACTTGCATTTGCTGTAAACTAATTCCTACAAGGAAACAATTTATTTGAACTGTTATTATTATTAATACAATTTTTGATAAAATTATAAATACAGTAATAGAAAACAAGAAAATTATTTTAGCCCTCTTGTAAATTATTTCACAGGACTTAATAATGACAGAAGAAATTACGTGGTCAAGTTTTGAATAGTTTAATATCAATGTCTTTGTTGTCCGTGATCTAATTTCCCGCCCACTATAAAAAATCAACTTATTTGAACTGTTATTAATAATACATTCCTTAATAAAATTATAAATAATAGAAAACAAATTTTTATTTAGAAACAATAAAGAAAAATATTTTTTTAATCAAGAAATTCAAAAAGTCAATTAATGGTCATTATAGTGATCATATAAAATTATATATTTGTCATCAGAAACATCCTTTATATAAATATCAGCAGGAGATCCATCAACAGAATCACCACAATTTTCAAAATCATCTTTGGAATATTTAAAGTAATTATCTTTATCTTGCTGGATAGTTTTTTTGTCAGGATCAATTGTCCATCCAACAATAGATGAATCGTTTCTACTATTAGTTACTAAAAACTTAAATTAGGACTATATTTTATTTCATCAATATCATGTCCATTGTGTGGATTAATTATATTTTGTTGTTGAATAGCAGCATTTGTATGTATCATTTGTATTTAAATTAGAATTACAATTATTTTATTTTGTAATTGATATTTTATCTTCTGTTACTACTTCTATAATGTCAATATTATTATCATCATTTGAGTCAAAGTTATTATTTTCTTCCATTTTTTTAGTAATAATAAACCTTTTCAATGTAAAGGATAAATTTTAATGTACATTGTTCTGTGATTACTTTTATACTTTTTTTAAGTTGAATGATTTTTTATGTAATTTTTGCAATGATTTGTTAATTTAGGGTTTCTATGTGTTAGAGCACTTTTATATATATAATAACTTGTACTTTATAACAAATATATATTGAAATTAGCCAATAGATTATTTTTACATGTTGTAGAGAATATTTGAGGTAAAATTAATGAAAAAATTAATGAAAAAATTAATTTTAATTTGAAACAAGTAACCTTTAAAAGGAACTGCAATTTTCAGGGCCAAAGTTGATGAATACAAAAAAGATGATTTTTAAGAAATTTTGGGTGACCAAATGGTTTCAGATCAGTAAGATCGTCCAGAATGTAGGGCGGTCCACTTTAGAAGATGGTTTTAAATATGTGTGTATTAATAGCAATATTAACAACCAAAACTGTTTGAGGTTTGATTAATTTTCTTATAATGTTAGATTTCCCTTGTTTGCTTTGCTAACATTAATATAGTTGACCAAGATTTTTTATGACAACAGTAGTGGTGATCATGTCAATGATTATAATGGTGGTAGTGCTGATTGCTATGAACAACCACCATAAACATCCCTCTATTTGTATGCATTGGCATGTACATTATTAGCAACACCCACAAAAGGATAATAAATTGGGATATGAAAGCATTGGTTTGATGAAAAGGGCTTACAACAGATCACGAAAACGAAGATTTTATTAATTATAGATAAAAAAATTCTTTTATAATTAGATTAGCATATCAATGTTGACCCTACTTCATATGTCATCTCTATTGATAAGAACACATTTGCCGAAGGCAAACATCTGTAGCATTGAATAGAGCAAGTTCCTTGAAAAACTTGAACGTGCTGAAATTTGATTTCTCAAATAAATGTTCAAAAAGTGCTTTGATTGAGTGTAAGAAATTGGAAAAAGTTAATTGTGATGGATTGAAACTTTAATGTTTAATACTGTAATTCAACATAATTTTTAATAAAGTAGATTTGGTGATAACCGTGACCTTTTTTCGGGATAGCACACCGCTCCCTGCTTACTGCAATATCTTGCTATAATTCCAACTTTTGTGTATTATTAAATTATAAAGGTCCTTATTTTTTTTTTTTCAATGCCTTGCAAAAATATTATTATTGCTTTCATTTAATAGTGTATTAAGGAATAAGTTAATATTTTCATAAAATTCCTGTGATAACATTCAAAGGTGATATTAGAATTTTCTAAATTTCAGTATGATAATATTTTTTTGGGACACATAAAAAAGGACGGGGGACGGGCAGGTGTGGCTTGAACCTGTCACCCGTCCTTTTTCATGTTTAGCCCATAAATACTAGAAAAAGATGGGCAATGGTACGGGTGCCCTGCAATATAGTATAAAAAAGGACGGGAGCGGGCAGGTGTGGCACAGTGGCCCGTCTTCCGTCCTTTTCTATTATTCATGGGGAAATCTTGAGAATGACGGGTGAAAAAGGGACGGGTTTGCTACGCCATTACTTCCCGTCCCTGATATTTTCTTAAAAAAGACGGGCATTAATATTGTATAATAAATATAATAATAATAATGCACAACGAAAAGGACGGAAGACGGGTTCAAACCACACCTGCCCGCTCCCTGTCCTTTTCATGTATCCGATTATATTATAAATTTTAATTAGCTTATTTATTTTCTATTATGATTTGTATTCTTTATTATTTTATTTTTAGCCTTAATTGTATAATAAAAAATAAAAATCAAGACTTTAGATAAGAAATAGAGACGGGAAATTATAATAGTCCAATTTTGCAGCATGTTTACTAAAAATTATATTTATGACAAACACCTTTCGCCTGTCCTTTTCAAGGTTGCCCGCGAATTTTAAAAAGGAGCAGTGGGACGGGTAATAATAGCACAGTAACACGTCCTTTTCAAGATTAGCCCGTGAATAATAGAAAAGAACAGGGGATGGGTTTCTGTTCCTTCACTACGTCACACCTGTTCCATGTTAGTTACCTATCCTTTTTTACATTATTTTGCAATACCCCGCCATTTTCTAGTATTAATGACCAAACTTGAAAAGGACAGGGGACGGGCAGGTGTGGCTTGAGCCCATCATCCATCCTTTCCCAGCATCCCATAATTTTTCTAGGAGTAATGATGTTAACCACAGACATTAATATTCATTCATATGTTCATCTGCCATTTATCTCAAAATCAATTCGTCATCTATTCATTTCTCAAAATACATTTGTTGGATTTTATCAGATCATCCGGATAATCCATTGGATTGAAGGGATTATTAGAAATACCAATAATTTTGATGGCTCATAATAGTGTAATAATGATAATTAGCATTAATATTAGATCATTACAACCAATCAATATAATACATTAAATAATCTCAGTTTACAGCAAAACGATAAACTAAAGTGATTGGGACTATTACACAGGTAAACTTGATAAGTCGTACATGAATGAATGGCTGGTCATAGTAATCCGATTTATCAAGGAATCTTATTTATCAAATCACACATTCTTACAAAACCAAAAAAAAATAATAATTGAAAATTATTACTATTTAATAAATAGACACACACAGGTAAACAATTGATTGAGAGACCAGTTTATTAAGTTTATCTGTGTAACAGATGAAAAAATTTTTTTATTATTATCCTTTTTTCTATTTTCAAGCAATATTTAAAGTCATGCGATTTCATTTTTTTAAATCTTGAAAAATTTAAAATCGCACGATTTTTTATACTTTCTACAAAACTAGTCTAATTTTAGAAATTATTGTTATCTGTTAATTTCCAGATTTGGTTAACACGGCTACATCAATGCTTGCCGATAAATTGATCTAAATATTTATTATTTACATCTACCATCCATCTCACTTTGTCACAAATAAAATTGGTACTACAGCCACAATTCATTTTAGTATTAGGAATTAGAAAAAGTCCCGGTTATTATTACTAATCAATCCATTATCATATTAATATATTAATATTTATTGTATCCAATTAATTGATAGTAGTTATAGTAGATTCGGGTAGCGGAAGTTTATTTACTGATAACGAATATGGCGTGCCATAGTGTACTAGTACGGAATACGACACGGAATAAATTATAATTCTAATTCTAATTTACTATTACGGAAAAAATGTTCTCCATATTGTTTTTCGTACGCCTTTTGTAATTTTAGGTATGTATTCTGTGTAAAAAACACGGTTTTCTAAATTAATTCCATATTAGCATGCTTTCCGTACATAATTTTATAGTAATAGATTTTGTTGCCATAAGTATTTTCCGGTTATATCAAATGTTCTAAAATATCGCAAATAGAAAGTACTTTAAAGAATGTAAATATGGGCGTGATTTACCACTTAAATTTTACCTAGTAATAGTACTAGTTCAACGTGAAATACTATCTGCATTTATTAAATGAAAAATGAGGTTTCTTTATTAGATAATAAAAATAAATTACCATTTTTGTTTTTTTTTTTTCTCAAGAAATAAATTTTTGATTCAAATCATTTGAAGAATCGTAGTCAACACAGTGAAATTTGTTCACATTACTTTACTCATGCTTAATGTTGTATGACGAAATAGTTTTGGAATTGAGAAACTAAACGCACTAAACTCTTGGCGAAAATCAAAATCATTGAAGTCATTGGCAAAACAAAAATTAAAAGTAAAAGTCAGATCTAATTTTTATTAAAATATGTTATCGACTAACAATTATTTAGATTTTTATCTTTACAACTTCGTTATCGTCATTTCTTCTACGTAAATTGTGTTGTTTTAATATAAGCATTGGCTTTTCTTTCTTTTTGATATATCACAATTATCATTGTTTATGTTAACACCATCTTCGATCTCCATATCATTGCTTCGCTTTCTAAGTAATGGTTGACTCGATTTTCAAAATTATTTTCAATCTGTAAACTTCTACATTCATTTAGAAATATATATTCCTGGTGTAGATTTTCAAATCAAAGGTTGTCATTTCCAAATTCAGTATTATTCTTCTCAATATCCAATATATTATTATTTTGAAACTAAATCATTGTTTTGAACTTCAATTACTTCAACACCAAAATCTTCATAAATTTTATTATCAATATTATCATTTTCTATCAGTAAATAGTGCATCATCTAAAGTTGTTAGCCGAATCCAAAACTATTTTGGACATTGCTTTTTAAAATCCAAATTCCGAAATGCCGAAACTACATATTTGGTAAAGATTATGAAAATTAATTAACTAACCTTATTATTATTACTTTTTACTGTTAATTATTATACACTCCTTACTCACGCACTAGTATGGAAAAACGTATGGAAACTTCAAACGAAAATGCACCAAAAATTACGGGATGCATACGGATCCATGAATTATGTGATGTGTTGAATATGAAATACGTACGGGAAAACCAAATCCGTATTAGTATTAACATGTTTCTATAAGTTCGTGCGTATTTCGTGTGTATTTTGTATGCATCCCATATTGGGTGTTAGATATAAGTATTAGTATTTTGTAGGTCAAATTTTTTATTTGTTATTACTTTTTTTTACCACGGAAATTGCATTTTCAATATGAAAGTACATCAATGTTAATAAATATGATTCTATTATGTTGTAGGGCATGCCCTACAAGTTCAAAATATTTTTCAGAATTAAAAAATATCATCTGTATGATGAGTTATAACGGTTTATTAAAAGCGATTTTTCTTTAACAATCGGAATCCTGAAACATTTTTAACTTTGAAAGCAAAACAGCCAGAAAAAAACCTTATCTATAACGTAACGATGCTGTTTTTTTAAATTTATAATTAATCTAGAATCTATGATGAGAATTGCATTTTCAATATGAAAGTACATTAATTGTTAAATTCATAAATGTAATTTTACCAAGTTACAGAGAATGTACTGCAAGGTCAAACCATTTTCAGAATTAAAAAATCTTATTTGCATGATTAAAAATTAATTAATTAATTAAATTGATTTTAACAATTGAAATCTTAAAACGTTATAACTTTGGAAGCAGAAAAAAATTAAAGGTGTTTTTAATCCCTAATAACCTTATCTATAATGTAACAATGCTGTTTTTATGATTTTTTAAATTTTGCATTAGTATTTATGACGAAAATTGTATTTTCAATATGAAAATTCGTTATAGATGCATATTCTGCAAGCTCAAAACATTTAAAAAAATCTCATCTGTATGATGGGTTAATTAATAATAGTAACACATATGCATCGCGTATTTATCCCGTATCTTTTTTACATTTTCACCGGAAGACTCCGACATTGTATTAGTATTAGTATTAATATCCGGAAATTCCGTGTGTATTCCGTGTATATTCCATACATTTTCCCATTTATAATCATTCATTAATAATTTTTTATTGGAAAGAGGTGTATAACATCAAAAGTAATAAGGTTATTTTTATATTTATTATTATTATTATTATTATTATTATTATAGATTGGTATGATAATCTTTACCAAACATGACATGTAGTTACCCACATTTTGGATATTTTGACATTTCGGGTACAATTCAGCCAAAATGCAAATCCGAAATCATTAACCACTAGTAAGTCTTCTTCATAATTACATTCCAATTCATTTCTGCATCTTCATTTTTTTCTGCATCTTCTGTTAAGTGAACGACCAAAATTTTGAACTTCTTTTTTTTTTATTTGAAAAATAATAAATAACTGAAATTTTGGATATATCTTCAAGTTTTTCTAAGTTCAAATTTTGTCATTATCCAATTTAACTTTGAAAAAAAATTTTCACGCCCTAAACTGTGAGGGTCACCGAAAAAAAATTTAATTGCCAAACCTTGATGCATCAAATGGATAATTATTAGTTTAAGTTGAGATTACAGATGTTTAGATTTTCCCATATTTTGATATAATCTGCAACAGTTTCTGAATTACCACTTTTTATACCTTTACTTAATCAAATATTAAATCAATCATTAATAATTGTTGATTATATTAATGTTCAATTGATTAATTACCTTTATATGCTGGATGTAGGAAAAAAATTCATCGTGCTCAAAATCTTTCCATCTACAATAATCTCGGAATGATTTAAATTGAATTTATATCTACTGCCGACTTGACTAAGTTGAAATAACAATCAGCTAAATTTCAGCTATCCGATTCCAATTATACAATTGAATTTTTTGTCAAAAAAGTTTCTTGTTTAAGAATATTCTTCACTTCACTCGTAACCAAATCATTGTTTTCTTTCAAAATCTATTTATTATTATAAATAAATATGTAGAAAAATTTTTATCCAAATTCGATTTATCAAGTTTACCTGTTTGACATGACTGTAGACAATAAATTTGGTAACGTGTTTGGCTGTGTAGACCATTTTTGGTAATTATCAACAGTGACTCTGCCACCACAATCAATAAACCGCAAAATCTACAGTATCTCTCTTAATACATTCTTTTAAAGTCTCCTCCATTTGAGCACAGTTTTCCGCCTGCTCAATTTTATTGAAGTTTGATTTTTTAGGCTTAATAATAATGTGCCCTCGGATTAAAGCATCTTTGGGCTAAACAATTTTACCTTTTAAGCTGCTAGAAAAGAAAATAGAATGAAAGCGATCAATTACCTAATGAAAGTAAAAATCTTTACAAGAAAGGTAAAGTAAACAAATAATGTGTCTTTCTTTCTAGCCATATAATTAATAATAGCCATAACGTTAAATATTTAAAGTTATAAATGTTAATCATAATCAAATAAACCTTTTCTTTTCTCTTTGTATATGCATGGTTTGAGTTGCTGCCTTCTTAAAATCTTTATCCTGAGATTTGTATATAAATGGGTATGGACACAAGCTTTATCTAGAAGAAGTTTCCCGGCTTTATGATGGAGTCAACAAAAATGTTAAAATCAAGATGGTTTCCTTAACGAGTAAGTTTATAGCCTTTATGTGCCTCTCATTTCTTCATGGTCCTAGACAAATTTTTTTGTTTTATCCTGTTTTTAACAAGAGCACCGACATTTCAATCAAAGTTTTTTGGAGAATCCTTTGCTGATAATTAAATTGTGTTACATTCAACGCATATGTAATTTAGATAATAATAAATAGTTTTTTTTATAAATACAAAAATGTGGGTGATCATAAAGAGATGCTGTTAGGAACGAGATCAGTTTTATCCTTCTTTCAATATTCTATTGTCAAATTTTTCAATTGCTGCATCTCCGTTTCATCATCGTAGGAGTATCCAAATGCCTTCTTATTCAACATGGAACTACAAGTGATAAAGAGAACAATCTTTGCTTTAGCTCAAAATAATCAGGAAGTAGCATGTTTTTTTTTTTCACGGCTTCTCAAAGAAGAAACAGCTTAGAATGCTGTAAACGTTCATCACAATCACAAATTACCTTCAATTTACGTTCTTTTTGTTGACTGGCTTGTTTGATTAGGCAACGAAGATAGTTGCTGTTTTTGTTAGTTGATATATGATCCTTTATGATTTGTAAATCATAAATTACATAAACTGCCATCCGCCATGCAGATATACAATTCATTGGTCGTAGCCATATGTATAATTAAGCTTTGCCTTCATTCAAAAACTCAAAAGAAGAATAAATCCAACGCATTGATAATTAAGAGTTGGATTTGCTGAATTCTTGAATGCTATGCGGGAACAGCATTAATAGAGATTTTTTCTGTGTAGTGGTTCTACTACAAAAATTTCCTAGCTAGTTTGTGTTGATCATAAGATACTGAGTGGTCTGGATAGAGTGTCAGGTAATTCTTTCTTGCGTAATATTGTTACGTCTAAATCTCTCGACCAGCTTGCATTAATCATAAGAACTCTCTCTCTCCAAGTCTAATAACCATCTACCACTTTGCCCTTTTAAAAAGTTAGGCCTAGATATTAAATAAAACTTCAGTTTTGTAATGATGTGTGTTGAGGACACTGGTAGAAAAAATGTAATTCACAAAGATTTCACCTAGTGAAAGCATTGAGCATAACAACCGTTGTTACAATATTTTTACAAATACTAGTGAAATATTATGGAAGTTATTGTAAAAATATTGTAAGAAAGGTTGTTATGCTCAATGCTTTCACTATGTGAAACCTTTGTGAATTATATCTTTTCTACTGGTGAGAGCAACAAATATAATAAATAATTTCATTGAATATCTATTTTTTAGAAGAAAGTTGCACTTCAAAAAGTACTTTCAGAATCACACAAATCTCTTTCCAAAACATATTTTTAATGGCACAGTTTAAAGCAACGAATAGCGAAGCCTCAAAAAGAAAGCTTGTGTCAATAAGAGGACCTTTTACTCTCGATATGCTAGGTTCGTAGTAATACAAAGAATATCCCAATACGGCAGTTGATAAAAATGTTTATTAGAAATTGAATAAGGTGCGAAACATATCTGTGATAGATAACAGAATAAAAACAATATGACTATATTCATAACTATACTTGGTAACTTAGCAATTTGTGACTATTGTGAAACTATCGAGAATTAAATTTCATCTAATTCAAATTTAAATGTGATGATGACAGTTTTGGATTAATTAAGAAAAAGTCTAAAAAGATCTAACACATGTTATGAATGAGAAAGGCTGATATTAAATATGTTTGGAAGTAAGTTTGATCTTGATATTGTGAATGTTCAAGAGATTTTATGTATCCAAGACATTTAAGAATGCAAAAAAAAATCATATGATATTACCATTTCCGGTCAAGAACATCTTTACAGCAGTAGCATTGCGCCATTTCCAATGATGAACTCAAGATATTTACTTGTCGAATACCAAATATGTGAGGTTAAAAAGTAATTAATATCTTTTTTGTTAAATGAAAAAATGAAAGGACACAAAACCGTTAATTTACAATCACACACACATTACATAATAGTACAAGAGCAATTGTTCCCAACACTTTGCACTACCAAAATTACTTTGTTCACTTTGTCTGGTTATGATCCATATAAAGTTTAAATTAACTAATAAATAATAATAAATAATAAATAATAAATAATAATATTATTATTGTTATTGTTAATCAATGAATGTATTTATAGAAACCATTGAAGAATTACTTCGAAATAAAGATTCACTCCAAATGCATAAAATTTAACCAAAGTCATTTTTGAAAATTGTATCAATTAACGTTTTTTTTTTCATCAGGATCGATAATAATACTAGTGATAGTGTATTTGTTCATATCTTGTAAAATTCCACAGGAAATAAGTTTATATATGGTATTACAATAATTATTAACTAATTTAACTAATCTCTTGTTACTGGTTTTATTTACTTCAAATTCTTTTACTTTTCATATTTGTTTATAAAATAAAATTCGAATTTATTTAATTTTATTTTCAAAAAATTTTTTTTGCTGATTAGCTTTATTTATGTTGATGATTTACAATATACATTATTATGTACATACATGTACATTAAAATAAAATTAATTCGCATGACCTACAATAAAATCACATGATTTTTGCGTAATCTTGCTAAAATTTTGCCGAAAAATTATGCGAACTTATCATTATGTTGCTTGCCTTTGAACTTTCATTTAATAAAAAAGATTTTTAAAATTGGATCACTAATCCTTGAATGTTATATATAGTGTTTGTCGCTAAACCTATTTTGAGAGACGAAAGTCAAAACTAAAATTAAAAGTTACATGACAAAATTAAATCAAAAGTCAAACAAAACTAGCAAGGTCTTTTGACTTTCGCACAGTTTTAAAACTCTATATTTTTGGAAAACACAACACTAGTTCTATACTTTTTTTAGGAAAGTGATAAAAGTTGTAATTATAGAGCTTCTTCGCCATGTGATGAGATTCATTATTAATACTGTTTCATATGTCTAAATCATTAAAATATATTGATATTCATATTACATCTGGTTGTATTAATAATAGAGCAACTATTATGATATATTGCAGTTTCAGGATATTTATCTATTTTGATTATTAATTCTTTAATACAAGTTACACACAAATAAACATTTTACATTGACCACATATTATACAACCCTGACTTTCTTCTATTCTAAAATTTTTTTTCCGGGTATGCATTGAGCTCGAGCGTTTTAGATCGGAATCTCTAGCGTGCTAATAATACCAAGAAAAAGAAGGCAATATGAAACTTGTCATTACCACGCAACAAGCCGGGTCGATTCAAGTGGATCCGACTGATAAAAAAAATCGAATAGTCAAATATTTTACTTGGCAACTATTTCACCGCAATGAATCACAAAGTCTTCAGTAATTATAAGAGTCATTACCGCTACAATTTATGTATGTGTATTCGTTGAAAGAGAAGGTATTTTTGGGTCGTTCGTGTGTATGCGAATGCGAAGAAGGTAGTCGAAAGAAAATAGAATAGCCTAGAGTTTAGTTTTATAATTAAATAACATCAAATTGTTTCATTCCACTTTTTTTTTTTTTTAGATAAATTTTATATTTTTTTGATCTTCCATTCGAAAATTTTATACCCACAATGATATTTGAATCAAAAAAAAAATTGTGTTCGGCAAGTATAAATGTTACGAAAAATTTGAGTTTTATAATTGTTTTGAAAAGAATTTTTATTGATGATGGATGATATATAAAATTATTATACAAAAAAGAAAAAAGAAAATTCAATTTTATAATGAAAAAAAAAAGGTACATTTTGACTTACAAAGCATATGTATATGTATTGTTGTGTTGTTGTTGTTGATGTTACTGTTGATGATGATGATAATTTACATATATGGTTTTTTTAAAAAAAATCAATCTTACGGTTTTTCTTTTTAAAAAAAAATGTAATGTATGAAATATGAAATAGAATTAAAATTACATAAAAAGAATAAATGCATAAATATCGTTTAAAAAAAATCGAGAAAATTACATAAAAAAATCTTAAAAAAGGTAAAAAATATTTCAGATATTTGCCAAAAAAAAAAATAAATAACGAGAAAAGAAAAAACGATAGTATAGTATCAGTATTAGTATTTTGGACGATATGAAAATGTTTATTGTTGCTGCTGTTTTTGTTGCTGCTGCTGTTGTTGCTGCAACAAATAATGCTGTTGTTGTAAATGATAAGGATGATGAGGATGATGAGGATGATGAGGATGAATTTGTTCTTGTGCTAATTCATTATTATGCTCACGTTGTTTTTCGTGTGCTAATGGTTCATGATTTTGTTGTTGTTGTTGTAGTTGTTGCTGTTGCTGTTGCTGTTGCTGTTGCTGCTGCTGCTGTTGTTGTTGTTGTTGTTGTTGATATGCAAGATGACTATAATATTCTTGGAATCTTTGATGTTCCAAGATAGCAGCTTGTGAACGTTTTCTTGTTAGTTTGGCGAAATCTACATAATAAATAAATTTATTAATTCTTATGTTTTTAAAAATACTCTCCGTCCATTAATAAAACAAAATATATATACATACGCAAACCACAAGCGTTACATAAAGTTCTTGCTCCATCAGGGCCTCGACGCCATTCGGGTGTTTCTTGTATGTTACACGAGTGACATCTTCCCGGGGGTGCCAATCGTTTCTATTATTGTAGATAATATAAGTAAAGAATATGGAATTTTCAATAATAATAATAATAATAATAATAATAAACTTACTGTTCTTTTTCTGTACTTGTGGCGGGCCGAAGAGTTATTTAGAGTGGTGCGTTTATTTCTGATTAATTCTATTTCAGTCTATATTTATATATATATATATATATTATATTAGTAAAAACTAGAATTTAAAAATTTCATCCAACCTATAATAAAAAAAAATTTTTAAATACTTACAGGACCCTTCCGAATGGTCTCATCTTTCAGGGCATTTAAAGCATAGAGTACTTCGAAGGTTTTATTTATTAAATCCGAAATATGACCCTCTAAATTTTTTAAATTATTTAAAGACATTTGCCACATACTATTATTTAAATAATCCTGATTATTATTGTTATATGTGTTGATATTATTGCCATCAGGGTGATTATAGTTCATTTCACGGTGACAAATGTCTCTGTAATATGTTGCAAATTGACTAATTTGCGTACAATTGTCCACAATCTATATAATAAATAATAAATAAAATAAATAAATAATGATTATAAGATAAATATTTATATATATTTATTATAAATTTAAATAATACCCTTTTCAGATCATCTAAATTACGTTCTTGACTATTACCATTGCCATCAATACTGAGCAATGTTTGACGATTCTGGTGCATTTCTTTTTCCAAATATTGTTGATAATATTCGAATGATGGATTATAATGATGACTACCATTACCATTATTATCATTGTTGTTATTATTATAGTATGGATGTAGATGTTGATGGTGTGATGGATGCTGTGGAATTGGATGTTGTGGATATTGCGAATGAGTTAATGACGGGGATGGTGATGGGGATGGTGACGATGGGGATGGTGATGATGGTGGTGATGATGATGATGAATGTAAATGGTTTTGATGTTGATGATTATGAGATTGAGGAGGAGCAGGAAAAACAGCAGATAAAGGAGTTGCGGGAGTAATTAATGAATTCTCGTCTAATTGTTGTTGTTGTTGTTGTTGATTAAGATGTGTAGGATTTGGGTGCGAAGAACATTTATTATTATTATTATTATTATCATCTTGATAAGACGAATTAAAACCTTTATTATGTGGAGGAGTTAAAAGTTGTCCTTGTTGCAAGTGTGATTGTGGAGGAGAAGCAGATGAAGTAGATGATCTAGATGATGATGATGGCTGAGAAGTAACAGCAACAGCGGTAAGTTGTTGCGATGGAAATTGTTGTAATTGAGAATGAGATTGAGAAGCTGATGTCGGTGCAATAACATTGTTATCATTGCCGAATTCCGATGGTGGCAAAGATGGTGATTGAGTTGGTTGCGAATCCTTGTTATTTAATAAAGAAGATATAGAAGGTAAATTAAAGGTTGATGATGGTGATGACGATGATTGTGATGATGGTGACGATGATGGTGACAATAATGATGGTGATGACGATGACGAGGACGATAAATATTGATCATGATTATGATCTTCTGTTCTTTTTTTATCAGCAACATCATTGTCGATTTTTAAATCAATCGCTTTGTTCTTACTATTAATCGTCATAGAGGTTACTGTCGCTGCTTCTGTTGTTGACGCATTTGTCGCGCTTGCTCCACAAATTAATTTCAAATCCATTTTGTTGCTAATATTTCGTTGTTGTCGTTGTTATTTGCTATAAACTTATTTATATATATTTATTGAAATATTAAAAGCCAAAAAGATAAAACTTGAATCTATGCGTTTATATTTATAAATGATTTTTTTTCTTTCAAAGAAAAATGTTTTATACAATTATTATTGTAATTATGAATATGTATATAAATAAACACTATATATATATATATGTTAAAATTAAAATAAATCACTTTTCTTTTTAAAAAAAAAGAATTAATTAAAATTAAATAAAATTAAATGTTTACGCCAAGAAATCCAAAAAGGATAAATATCAAATCAAATCAAAATAATAAATAATAAGAGAAAATTAGAATGAAATATTTTATGACTTGAAAAATTAATTAATGGTGAATGTTTGTGTACGCGATATGTGTATATATATAAGGTGTAAGAAATGAGAAGTATATAGGTAAGGGAAGGAAGGAAGAATATTTAATTAAGTCTTAGGAAAAAAATAATCGCGTAATTTTGAAAAATAAAATTATAAGGGGGAAAAAAAATAAAAATAGTTAAACCAAAGTTTATCTAGTGGTTTTAACTATAAATATGAATCAATTTTTGGTTTCAAAATCAACTTTTCTCTTTCACTTTTCCTTTTTTGAATATTAATAATATCGAATACTGTATTATTATCAAGATGGTAATGATAGTGCTCTAAGGTTTATTTCTTTAAGAAAGATTAAAGAAAAATTAAAATAGATTATATTGATTATTTAGAAAAAGTAGAGAAAGAGTATACCCGAAAAAAGGAATTTTGATAATTTTGATTGGATTTCCAATTAATCCTGAAAAAATCAGAAAAAAGGAATTAAAAAAATATCTATCTTTTATATATTTATAAATTATAATAACAAACAAAAAAAAAATGGATAAATGAGAATTTGCAATAAGGTTGTTTTGTTGATTTATTTATTTTTTTAAAATTGTAATGGTAACAAATATTTTTAATATATATACACAACTATAATTTACATATAACCAAAGTAGTTATGGTGAATGGATAGCCAAACCTAGAAAACTTGTGAAAAATCAATAAGAAAGTTGTAACAGATCAATAAATCAATAAATCAATAAATCAACAAAGATAACTGAAAAAAATTTTTTTTATATACTTTATTTATTAAAATCAATAAAAATGCTGGCGAGATCGAAAGGATTTCCTTTTTATCTATAAATTTGCATTAATTTAATATTAAATTAATTTAAATATTTGTTTGTATGTTTGTATTTTGTTCGCGTACAGATTATATATATAGATTATTGGAGATATATGTAGAATAATATTCGGCGTCTGATTATTTATATGTTATGATGGTTATAGTCCGATGTGTATATATGTATCGTAGATATGAATTTGGATATTGATATGGAAATGAGCATTCTAGATTCGCAATAGATTTACACAATAAACAAACAACCTATTATTAAAATAATATAATATCGCGGTTAGAATGATTAAGGTAAAAAGAGATTATTGATTATATTATATATATATATAATTATTACCATAATAATTAATGATTAATAATTTATTTAATTTATATATTAAAAAATTAAAATTACGTGGTTATTATAAATTTACTAAATTTAAATTATTATGATGACGAACATATCATGCATATATTATTTACGAGCGTGCGCGACATATTAATAAGCAAGTACAAAGTTAAATATATCTAATAATATAAGTAATAAGAAAGGTATATATATATATACGCTGTGCATGTGAACGGTGTGGACGATGTTGATAAATTTTTTAATTCTTGGCAACAGAATATGCATAAGTTGTGTGATTTTTAATGCTTAATGACAATGTGGTAGATGAGGAGGAGGTGGATGTGGAGCATTAGAAGAAAATAATATAAAAGTAATTGTGGCGTGTTATATGGTTATTCATCCTTTAAAATAAATAAATAATATTAGTTGTGTAATAGTGTGTGCGACTAAATTTACGACGTCTTTGTCCTAATAATGATGATTACGAGATTATGGTGATGTTTGGGTATGGCAGCTGAAATTATGATTGTAGTGTGGTGTGTAGTGTGTAATTTAGGAAAAAATACAAAGTATCACTAAAAATGTTTCAGGTTGTTTGCTTTTTATACATGAAAAAAAAAATAAATAAATATAAATAAAGTTGGTGTATAGATGAAAAAAAATGTGTTGAGAGTGCCAAATGTGTGTTAGAAGCATGGGTCTAATAAATAATAATAAATAATAATAATAATAAATTTTGTGCATAAGAAATTAGTTTCTGTTAATTGTTGTTGTTTTTTTGTACCGTTTGTGTTAATATATTAATATATATAGAAAAAGTTCTTTTGTTAGAATCTTGAAAAAAAAAATAAAATTCAAAATCGTTGTTACACCAATACTAATGAGACCAGAAACCAAAAAAACTAATAATTAAAAAATTAAACCAGTAATTATTATTTGTAAATCATACGATTTGATATCTTCACTCTATTTATATGAATAAAAAAAAAATATAGAATATTTCTTTATTTTTCTTTCTTTATTTCGTACCAATCATTTAGAAAAATGATTTAATATCATCATCATTATTTACTAAAACAGTAGGATTTTTATATTTAGTACCACCACAATATTTTGATGATTTGGCGCTCTTTTATATATGTTGATTTACGTAAATGTACATATTAAATATAGACATCAATATGTATATAATCTATAGTATATAAATCTATTATGCACAAAAATTTTAGATTCTTTTTATTTATCTTTTTTTTCTATGTTAATATTCTGATATTATGTTTATTCTTTTTTTAGCATTTAAGAAGTCTATCAGCTTATTTATCTTGTTTGTACCTGTACTATATGTTGTTTTGTTGTGTATCTTTGTTTTTTGCAAATATTTTTATGACCTCGTACGTTTTGTACAGGCGCATGTTTTTAGTATGGTGAATTATTATTATTGATAAATTAATTGTTTTGCTCGAGTTCTTTATTGAACGGGTGGTTGCGAATGGATGAATAAACGTTGCGAATTGTGGTTTTTTGTTTGATTGTGAAAAATTACTAAAAATGCTAAACCTGAAGTTATTTAAAATTTGAAAAAAATTTTTTTAAGATTATTTTCCAATTACAGTAATTATGAACAATCAATCAAAATCACAACTGTCATTATTGCTATTTATAATTTATTATTAGCGTTATTATTGGTCGATTGGGTTTGTTGATTGTTGTTGTTTTTCGGATTTTTGAAGTTTTTGTTTTCTATATCTTGATTGTTTTATTATCCTCCTTAATAATATTATTTTTATATGTGTTTGTTTATAAATCATGTATTTATATCAATGAGAAACCAATTGCATGCACTGAAATTATTCCATACAACCCAACTTCGGTTCAATTTCAATTCGTTTTTTCTTATTACTTGTTTCAATTCAATTCAATTTCATTCGTTCCTTCCTTCCTTCTAGACCAAGATGATTAACGATTATTTTTTTTACAATAAATAAATCCTAATTCTTGGTCTAATTAATTTGAATTTTAACTGTAATCCTAATTTCAGCCTATTTAAAAATTATATGTTTCGTTTGTTTATTTGTTGTTTATTGTAATGTAAATCTTTTTTAAAAAAATATTCTTAAATTCATAATAATCCGTCATTTTTGTTTTGTTTTGATTTTGTTTGTTACATGATTTTCGTGTGTTAATAATTTAAAAAAAAAATTAATTTTGAGAGAGATAGTATATTAATTGCATGCGTTGTAAAAATATTTTTGTCTAATTATGGAAGTTATCGAAAGTCTATTAATATCATTACACTTTTAACGGAAAGTGTAAAATCGCAAGACCATATTTAATATTTACAATAATAACAAATATGCGCATAATTTTATTATATAATCTTTGATTTTTACTCAATTTTTTAAATAAAATGTGCGATAAATTTTCTTTTGTCTTTTAGTTTCTCATTCGATAATTAATAATGAATCTATATGAATGTGTGATTCTAGACTCTTTGAATTCCTTAAACAATGACGTAGAGAATTTAAACTTAAACCTAAACTTTACCCTGAGTGGCTTATTTGGATTTGAACTAGGAGCTTTGGTTTACGGCATAAGTTTGACATTGATAGGGGTTAAGGAGTGTAAACTTTGCACATATATAAATTACCTGAAAAAGAACGTATAATTTGGTTAGCATCAATTTCAAAAACTCTTTTCCCTTTAATTTTATTTTTATAAAAATATTAATATTTTATTATTGATTGATTGCGAAATTTACAAGTTTTTCCGGTCAAAGAAAAAAAAAAAAATTACAACAGTCGTCTAAAATAATTGTTTTTTTCATTTTAATACAAATTTTTTTTCCACTTTTCCTTCATCTGCTTCTTACCCGTTTATTGTTGAAATTGTTTGCTTTACTTTCTCTAATACCAAGTTTTTCTTTTCACACATTTTCCACTTTACCTACGAATAACATGACATTCTAAACTTTCAATATTATTTCCATATCTGATACATAACCAAAATCACTGTCTATTGTGCAAGTCATATTAATAATAATGGACCAACTTCAAAATACTAGAACAAAAATTTTTATCTCTTTTTAAAAAAGTTAGCCGATATAGGTTTTATTGCTCTTCAAAACTTATCGGCAGTTTTTTCTTAAACTAAAAATTGAGCAAGCCTTAGCATCTTAAAAATTACAAATTTTATTATACACTTAAAAAATTCAAGACCAAGTAAATTATGGGTAATAAAAATTTTTTTCAATAGAATATTTTTACAACATATTTTCTTTTTTATTAAAGTTCTATAAAAAAAAGGTTTACGATTAGAAGGAAATCACTGCCCAATTCGATCATGTAATTTTGAACAATATGGTATCACGAAAGTTATTTATTGCATTTCGCATGAATGGTGATGGAGTTTTTTTTTTGAAACCCGAAATGCAAGTCATGTTATGTTTCATATTTTTAACTTTTGAATGTAAAAACAATTCGTGGTTCCACATCAATTCAATTCAATTCCATATGCGCGTATCTTTACTATATATATATATCCATACTAATTTATTGTGAAACAGTTTGTGAGGTCTGGAATCGTTCTAAATAAAAAATTGATTGCCGTGGTACAACAAAAATAATAAGGTACGGAAAATCTCTGACGTAGATGGATTAGTTAGTATTAGTACCACGCGTATGTTATAAATAAAATTTTGATTTATTAAAAATAAAATAATATTTAACGAACGGCTTCATATTTTTAAATTAAAAAAATGTACATACGGTTTTACAATAATTTATACATTAAAAAATTCGATTGATTATTACATAATCACGGTTCATTGGGCAAAACCAATGGGACTAACGAAAATAAGTAAATTATTTATTAATTTTAGTTAGATTGATTGTCCTGTTTTGCATTGTTTGTTTTGTTTGCAATTCAAGTTTAAACATAAAAAAACTTATCAAATAGTTAAATCAAAAAGTTAATTTTAATGGCCTATCAAATAGCATATTATCATCTACTATCTATTTTGTAATAATATATTGCCTTAAAATACAATTTTTCTTAATTTATTATGGTCTAAACAAATTATATATATATATATATATATATATATATGTATATGTGACAATTCACCTAAAAGACTCATGACTTAAAGTCATCGTTGTTGTCGTTGTTGTTGTTTTCAGTTCTTTTGAACACTACACAGCCCATTTAATACTGTATATATATACACCTTGTTATTTTATTAATATTTTTATTTACTCTTCTATTTTATTTATCATCCACGTACTACCATAATAGATTTTTAATCTTATTAATATTATTAGTAATGTTTATTAATATCGATAATGATTGGTAGCTGATTATTCGTAAGTTCTCCTAATATTTTTGTTTACTTGCATGTGATTTTATTTAACTAATTGTAATTGCTAAGTTAATAGTAAATTTGGTTGCGGGTAATTCGTATCTCGCGGGTAATTCTATCTCACGACACGGCTAATTATTAATAATTGTAGAAATGTACAGCGATTTGCACAAATAATAGATTTTTTGTCACACACTTATCTCCTTTATGTTTTTCTTGTAATCATCCATCACAATTGGCCAATCTATTTCTAATCAACTGACAATTTACCCGATCGATATGATTGTCATTAACTATATTGATTATATATATATATATATATATATTGTACAGTGGAGGACAACAAACAGCCGTAACCTATTAATAACTTACCGAAAATAGTATTTACTTACTCCTTAGGAGTGAATGATCAACTCAAAAAAAAGAAATTTTGCGCCAAGAGATTATTAAAGTCAAGGAGTATTTCGCTGCGGCCAAACGTTGGATTTTTACTCTCTGGCCAGAGTTATGAGGGTTTAATTTTATAGTATCCCTAATACTTATCGTCTATTAAGTAACTGTTATTATTATACCTTAAATTCATAATTATTTAATACTTTTTCTTAAATTTCAATTTCTTTAGTCGAACTACTCTCGCACGTATTTTTACATCTAAAATTTTTCACCGCTATCGTATCACCTGATGTTTACGGAAAACATTAATAGTAGTAGCCGAAATACGTATAATACATACTACCAATACTCCCATTTTACAATTCCGTATGTATCCCTATTTTATTTTTATCATTATTATTATTATTATTATTATTATTATTATTATTATTATCATTGATATGAATCAATGATAAAGTTACACAAACAATAACATTAGAATCTACTGCGTCTTCTACGGAATAAGAATAATAAAAATTGTATATACACAAATACGAGTCACACGAAAGGGATAGGGCACAGTAAATTGTGATAGATGCCCTGTCCCTATCTTTTTTGATATCTGGCTGCGGGACAGATAATCTACGTGAAAAATCAAGTGGCAAGCATGGCATGGACGGGGTAGCCTATCCCCCTGTCATTTTATGAATTTATTGGGTAAAACTTGAAAAAAGGACAGGCAGGATATAGGTTTGCTGTGCCGCACCTGAACCTTGACATTTTCCATGTAAATTTCTTTAAAAAGACAGTTAATATATAAGTATAAGAAAATAAAGTGAATAAACCTAATCTTTGTGCAAAATATATACCAAATTTTATTATCTAGCTTCTACTGTAGCCAAGTGGATTATAATTAAATTCGGATTTTAAAATTTTGTTTCGCATATGCATTCTTATGTGTACTGTTGTTGTATAAAATGGAACAATTACCATTTTTATATGTTATATACAATCTACAAATCCAATTCCATAGCAAAAATAATACCATTTGTATACTTATATACAGTCAATCATGAATTTATGTCGAGACACGTAATGTCTCTTACGACCAAAGGGAGTTTAGCATTCCAAATAATCATATATATATATCAAGCTGTTGTGAGGCACAAAGTCCCAAAGGTAAGTAACATTCATAAGCTTTAATCCAGGGATACACACATGTGTATTCATTGGGTTTGCAAAATATGTAAACTTTGTTGCATACAGACATTGTATAGCAGAAAATATTGGTATAGAAGCTTTCTGTGGGCACTAAATATCAGTATGATGATGCAAACTCAAGTCTGTCGTCACTCTCATGGGTATGAGAGCAATCCATTCAGCACTATATGCTTCATGCTCGAATGACGATGCATTCATTAATCTATCATCATCTGATGACGCAATCAAGTATCTTATACATCTTCATCTGTGTCCGCTTTTTCATCCTCTGGCTTATGTACTAACTTCTTTTCATTTGAATGCGAAATATAGATGTATATGGTTATATATGAGGAACTCTTGTTTGTTCTTGAAAAATTTGATCAAGATAACCTCAAATTAGTAACTCAAGTTTTTAAAAGAACTAATTTAAAATAATCAATATTAATAAAATAACATACAGCATTCAATATCTAACTTAGGTCTTTAATAATAAATTTCCCTCTTTGATCCTCTGAAACTTCTGATGATTGCTTAACTTGATCAAACTTAGGTCTCTTGTTTTCAAGCATTTTCGTCTAATTCTTTGTCTATAAAATAAACATTGATTTTTAATGATATGTGTTAATCTCCAAACTATCTTGAAGAGGCACAAGTTAAAAATAAAATAAATTTTATAAAACTGATTTTGACTTCAGTTTCAAAATGATTGATTTCTTTACCTCGCTTTGATGGCTATTTGCATGTTGTCTTCATTTAATTCGCACTCTTGTTTCTTCGGTTTGATTTTTTTTTGCCATTGGTACCAATGACGTGCCATCAATAATTGGAAATATATCCTGATCTTTTTTAATTTTTAGACAACAAAATCCTTTTGTTCTTCAAATGTTATTACTAATTTTAATTCCTTTTTAGGCGATAACTTCTTTAGAGTCCAATTGATTTCCCACTGTTTTTAGTAAACAAATAAATTTCATAAATATAAACTATATTGTATTTACCCGTAATGTTTTTAATAGATCAGATGGCATTTCTGCTACAAATTAATAAATAAACGTTTGACAACAAAATGATTGTTAGTAAAAGGAGATAAGCTATTGTATTGATTTCATGGCATAATGATTTTGATATTGAAGCATTAGCTAAAAATATATCAAGAATGGTTAGTAAAGTTTAAATTTGGTTTATACTTTATTTTTAGTTTAAATTTTTGTTATATATAAGAATAATTTGAATATTAAAAAAGTGTGGGTTTTGAATTTGGCATTGGTTTCGAACTTAAGTTTTGGACTTTCAGATTTCAGCCATATCTTTGAGAGATCTCGCTCACATGTATAATCTAAACTATATGTATTTAATGAACTTCTCATCTTATTTTCAATTATATTCTAAATTAATTGAATGTTTCAATGTTTGGTTCTGATTAGATTGCTTAGACTATTAATAAATATTTAATTTATTCACATTTTTTAACTTTTGAATTTTTTAAAAATAACAAATACAATGGTTTTTCCAAAAACCATAAACATAATCTTGTAAAAAGTAATCATAATATATATAAGTAATAATAATAAAAAAATAAAATAATAAATCTAATAATTTATTTTTTGGAATTCTTAATTTCATTCAACAGAATTTGCACGTGTGGTTTTTTTTTATTTTGAATATATTCATATTTTGTATAAAACTGTGGCCGATACACATTCCAGAATTGATTCGTTGAGTGAAAGAATTTCTAAACTTGAAAATATTGGATAGATACTGCCGTTGAACAAGCTGAACTTAAAGTTAGAATTACGAAATTGGAACAGAAGCTGTTATCTAAGGAAAATCCGTAAATTTCAGACTAAATGCATTCAGATAGCTAAAGAAATTCTTAATGAGGAGCCGATAATTGAATACTGTCCTTCTTTTCTGAATGGGTTAGAACTTGATGCCTTCTTTCAGAAATACCAAATTGTATTGGGCTCAGCATCGGCTCCATAACACTAGCTGGTATAAAGATGTCAAAAAACTCAAAGATATTGTTAATCGTTATCGGAAAAAAAGATGACTATGTCAACTTAATGGTATATACCTTATTGAAACATGATATGATGAGAATCCAGAAGTTACTATTCCTGAAAGGATATATAAATATAGAGAGTGTATTAATTGAGAAATATTCAATCTTTCATAATTATCATTCGTGTCTATAATTATGATCACATGTGGCCATACATGCAGATTAACACTTACGAAACACGAAATAAAATTTTATTAATTATAGTAATAAAACATGAAGCAATATAAATTATTTTTTTTGTAGGTGATCATGAGATTGCAAGTAAACATATAAATTTTATTTTCCAACACACATTTTATATATCCTTTATTAAATATACAACAATGATAAGTTAATACGTAATCAAATTTTATTATGATTGTGACTTTGCAATACAATTATTTTTTGATAAGGAAGTAATGTTCACAACATAAATTTCAACTATTTTTGCTTATTTCGTACTTTCCAATCAGGCGAGTTTACAATTTTTGGTTTTTTTACCAACTTACTTTCCGTTGATTTATCTATATTCCTCTTTCTGGTACTTAGTTGCACATTCTTCTGACTAAGTTCACCTATCATCTTTTTCGATTCATCCAACTTCTTTTTGTATTCCTTCAATACAAGGTATGTAAGTTCCAAATTATAAAGGTCTTCACGAGAAGATGGGAGGAAAGCTTCCTACATTAAGACCAAATGAAATAAGCCACCAGAAGCAGCAAAAGCATATTAATATCTCCTGATATTGCGGCCTAGTTTCCATTTCGATTTAGTATTCATATACTTATAAATTACAGTATAACATAAATTTTTTTTTTTGTATTTTTAAATTATAATACTTACCAATCACTGTAAGACCCCACCATACCAATTTACTTGCATCTACACCCATCAAATGATCTACAGCAATCACCCATAAGTCCCGGAGTTCTAATCCAAGTTTAAGTGTATCATTTCACTCTTTAGATCGTGAAGACCACCAGAAACTTAGTGGCTAATAACCTGCATAATTAATTTCTAAATTTGATAATAGATTTCTGCATTACTTTCTTGTTATAGAGATAAAATTACCAATTTAGGTAGTAAGCAGCTTAGCTGGCTAAGGATTTTTAAACTGCTAACATCACTACAGAAACTTCTAAACAGCTGATAACTGGAGTCCAGCTAAGGTTCTGGTATTCGATCATCGCATCAATCTTGAATCCAATTCATGCGTGGTCATTTGGGTTTCTCTCTTTATTTCATCATGTAGCTGTTGCTGCCAGTGATTGTTCGCTACTAAATAAAAAATATCAATGATCACATTTTGTATGAAAACAAGGTAATTTATATTTGTACAAGTAACTCACTACTTCACCCAAAAATAACCATCTTTTCCAATTGTTGCATTGAGCAGAGGGACAACATTTCTAAACATGTGTTCGACTTCAGGCAAATCTTTTTTTCTAGTCATTGTTATGGAATCAAGGCTAGAGGGGATACGTGGCCATTAGATCTCATTTATCTGTTAAATAACAAACTATATATCTACACTTACATGTGACTGAAAAGCTTTCTAAAAGTTTTTTCCTCTCCTGTCACTGCTGGTATGTGATCAACATCTTCTGCCTACAAATAAAAAATATTTTAATATACATGATTTATTATTTTAAAACAAAAGATTACTGATTATCTTCAAGAGTTTGTTAATAAATTTTGCTTCTTCTTCAGTTAGTTTTGGTATACAAAAACATATTTTTGGAAGTGCACTTAACATTTGAAGAAAAACATCAGATAATAACTTTAATGTTGGACTATGAAAGCCAGAGTGATCAATCAAATAATAGTAAAGGGGACTGAAAAATAATATTAAATTTTTGACAATGTTATAAATACAACTATATAAGAAGCAAAAATAAAAAAAACTCATTTGAAAGCACAAATTTGTTTTGTTTAATTTTCACAGTATTCTTCTACCTTATGCATTACTGCATCCCAGTCTAAACCTTCTGAGTTGTCCTTAATGGTGCGAACAACAGATGGTCCTTGAAGATCTAATTCTATCTTGTTTTCTCCAACCTCATCACAAGTCTCAGGGAGATCAATTTCATCATTAGTGGTTACACCCAGAGGGTTTATTTCGTGTTGTGAACCTGTTAATCAATATGATTATAGTGGTATTAGCCGTTTAAAAATCCTTAGCCGGCTAAGCCGTTTACTACCTAAATTGGTAATTTTATTTCTATAATGCAGAAATCTATTACCAAATTTAGAATTTATGTATGCAGATTATTAGCCGGCTAATATCATCACTATTATTATTATGTGATTATTGCTTCTGGTCTCATGAATCTGGATGGAGATTAAAAATTAGCGAGTATTCAATTGACATAATGTATTTCAAGAATAAAAATTGCACCTCTGTGTAGCTATCCTTCTTCATATCGTTGTCAGTGGACTATCTTCAAGTTGAAATCAAAACGCACAAAAAAAAAGTATGACAAAAAGATTAAATGAAAATGAGTTTATCAAAAATAACGAAAATACAGTTGATGATGATCCGGGTAATTGTATATCTTAAATTTGTTGTGTTTACAATCATTTCATTGGCATTCATTATATTAAGGTTATTTTGATTATATCAAGAGATATGGTCAAGAGAAGAGTTAGGAAGAGAGTTATTCTTCAACCAAGTCAAAAACCAACCCTTTAAATACATTTTCAAGTAGTACAATTTAATTTATTAGACTATTTCAAAGGTTTGTCACATGGTTGCTTCTAACTTCTTAAATTCGAACCATTTGTTAACAAAACAACTGTTGGTGAAGTGATTGTTGACAAATGAATCAAACCAACATTTATTTTTACATTATCAAATTCACAATTGCATGTGTTAAAATTTTGTTAACTGTTCTTGTTCCTTCACTCAAACAAATAATTGTTCACAACACAACACTATTTAGAATGTAATTGTTTTTTGTGTCAATACTTAATAAATGTTCTGGTCTTGGGTAATTCTTGTTATTATTACAATGATACCAGCTGCAGTGTTCAAGATTCAACTGTGCCTTAATATAAAAACTAATTTTTAGAAAATCTGGCAAACATTAACATACATATTAATATTATTGTTGTTTAACTCTTTTATTGAACATAAATTTATTTCTTTTCATTCCCCATTTTATATTGACACATAAAACTTGCTTTTTCAAATTATAATAAACACTTATTGTGTATGAATTTGATTTATTTATTTTTGCTTCCTATGTTGTAAAATAAACATTATCATTTGCATGAAAACCTTATGCAATGTAAAAATTATAATAACCAATAATAAAAAATAAAAGATAAAAGTAAAAAGAAGTATAATATTACAACCAAAATTAAAATAATAAATGAAGTATCAAAGAGCTAAAGAGCAAATACAGCCTTATTTACTATTTAAAATAAAACAAAAATCAATCAACAGTTAATATGTTTTCAAAAACAATTGACTATAATAATAGTAAATGATGAGAATACTTACTTCCTATTTATTATTTAAAATAAAATGGGAATCAATCAACAGTTAATATGTTTTCAAAAAACAATGATATTGACTGCAATGATGAAAATACTTACTTCCTATTTATTATATAAAATAAAACAAAAAACAATCAACAGTTAATATGTTTTCAAAAACAATGTAATGATGAGAATACTTACAGCCTATTTATTATTTAAAATAAAATAAAAATTAATAGTTAATATGTTTTCAAAAATAACATTGGCTGAAATGATAGTAATGATGAAAACACTTACAGGCTATTTATTATTTAAAACAAGACAAAAATTAATCAACAGTTAATATGTTTTCAAAAACAATGATATTGACTGTAATAATAGTAAATGATAAGAGTACTTACAACCTATTTATTATACAGTTAATATGTTTTCAAAAACAATGATATTGATTGTAATGATAGAATGATGAAAATACTTATACCCTATTCATTATTTAAAATAAAGTAAAAAACAATCAATGGTTAATATTTTTCCAAAAACAATGATATTGACTGTAATGATAGTAATGATGAAGATACTCACAGGCTATTCATTATTTAAATAAAACAAAAAACAATCGATAGTTAATAAATATGTTTTCAAAAACTGTAATGATAATGTAATGATGAAAATACTTACAGCCTATTTATTATTTAAAATAAAATAAAAATTAATAGTTAATATGTTTTCAAAAACAATGATATTGACTGAAATGATAGTAATGATGAAAACACTTACAGCCTATTTGTCATTTAAAATAAAATGAGAATCAATCAACAGTTAATATCAAAAACAATGATATTGACTGTAATAATAGTAACTTACCAATCTATTTATTATTTAAAATAAAATGAAAACCAATAATTAATATTTTTTCAAAAACAATGATATTGACTGTAATAATAG